TGCTCTTCTTTATCTGTGCGTTACCTAGCAACTTGTTTTGTTAATGTTCTGTCGAAATAAATATTACTTTCACTACAAATATACGTACTAATATTCTATCTTAAATCTATTACATTTCCTGTTCCCTTTGATTTCTTAAAGATATCAAGCTCCGCGAGCAATAACAGATATATACACCTAGTTCAGTAAAATAATTACAATTTTTTTTTATCAAAAATGAAAGGTTTTTATAATAATAGATTTTGTCATATAAAATTAAATAAACATTATTACGCTGATTAAAAAATAATATTAAATCATTTAGACAGATTTTTGTTGAACACTGTTTAAATAAAAAGAGTTTTAAATTGTTTTTTCCTAGTACAATAGAAAATAATTAGCAAGGAGTCTCTGTATTAACAATTAGGTATCATCATCGTCATATCAGCTTTTAACTGTCCACTGTTGAACATAAACCTCCACTAATAGGAGGTTTTGCCAGTAGTTGCCACATTTTGCAGGCGGATTGACAACCGTAGTTAGGCTTTAGAGATGTTTTAAAAGGGATGTTGCTGCCCATCCTTCGCCCTCCTTAATCGCCTCTTACGACATCCAAGGGAAAGGAAGGGGTAGGACGATTAGGTATGCTGTAAACTTTTATTAGAAACAAAATTTTACTATCACTAAGTAGATTAAAAATATGTAGTTCGTAATTTTCGACATTATTATAGTGTTGTATAAATTCATGAAAAAGGGAATAAGGATCTCTGTAGTCTATATCGTAATAACTAAAAACTGTAAAATATCTATTGAAATAATAAAGATTACACGGAACAACCATATTCCACTTTATTTAATATTAGAGAGAGAGTAATATAAAATGTATCCTAGCAACATGTGGGCCCCATAAATTAATGAATATATAAAACCTACGTCAACATATATATCTAAGATATATATAGGTATACTCTAGACGTTGGTGGATTATATACTATCAAAATTTTATTAATATGTACCTTAAATTATAAAGTATATAGATCTGCAAGGTAAAAAGAGAAGAAATACAATAACATAATATGTAAAAGCGAGATAGAAAAACAAGACATTTACAGAATATATGCTAGAAGTTTACTTGACAGGAGTATGAATTCTTATTTTTAAATTTTGGAGTGTAATTTATTTTAAAAGAATATAATCGATTAGAGTATGTCCTGTATCTTAATATACCATTATTCAGGGAAATAAACCATAAAATGACATGTTTTTTATTTAATTACTGTAAACATATTTTTAAACATGAACAATTATAAATATTTTGTATACAAATTGGTAAAAAAATAATAATAATTTAATTTAAATAAAGTTGTAAACGTCCCCGATTCGTAACAAATTATAACAAATATGTGAATTTTCGGTATTTTTCCAACAAACTATTAAGTCTGTAAACATTCAGATCTGTCAAATATACTTTCACACATTTGTAAAATACTAAGAGAAACGGGTAGATAACGGGTTGTTCTTTTTATTTCGTTTTAATCGGTCGGAAAATATAAAGAACTAATGAGAGATTTGTAAAAACATATGACAATAGAAAATCAGTATACAAATATAAAAGGCGTATTCTGATGACCAGTAATATAAAAGGAGTATTATGACGGCCAGTAATACGCCACACACTTAACTAGTGTAATTATTTTCTTGTCTTGTTTTTGTATTTGCATTGCCAAACTGTCATTAGACAATACTTTATATTACATCTATGAAATATTACAGTTTCCGTTTTATTGAGACCATTAGTACAGTGTAGCAATTTCAAACTTATCTGTATTTTTAAAAATATTTAAATAATTTTTATATGCGATTATGTATTTAATGACTTTATCTATGACTATAGATAGAGATACATCCGATAGATAGGCATATCTGCATGTTCTCTTTCTATGTTTAGAAGATTTTTCAAATTATCTATGGAATTTTCATAAATTCACATCTATGGAGACTATTTGTCTTATCTATGGTATATCTTTTTTTTATAAATACTATACACCTTGATATCTAAATATCATTTCCGGTATACATATACATTTGGATTTTTACTTCCGTATCCTGTTATGATGTGCGGATTATTTGTCGTAAATTATTATTATTGTATTTAAAAATGTTGAATGATACTAAATTCTTATTACACATCAGTAGTCAATTATTTCTTAAATATTTAATATATACTTAGAATATTTAAGTTCAAAACATGAACACAAAATATTTATTTCTATATCATAGACATACATACAATTTAAATAGCCATTAAGAGGATAAAAGTTCTGAGGCAAGTAATTTATATATATAAGTATATTTATTTCTCTTTCTATATGAATACTATTAACTTTTCAAACGAAAATGTAACAATTTGCTTTAATAACTTAGCTATGTATTAAATATTAGTAAATTACATTTTTATCATGAATTTATTATCTGGATGGTTATAAGGGCAGAGGAAAACTTAAAAAGACTTAGATGGACTGTGTTAAAGATAAGCTGGTCTGAATGGGGCGAATACGGAAATGATTGTGAATAGAAAATATTGGAAGAGAGAAATATATTATGCCTACCTCAAATAATAATTGGTGTAAAGGTAGAAAGATGACGATGATGATGATTTCTATAACGAAACAAAAGCTTTAAATAATCTAAAGAGATTATTAGTAATGGGTTCCAACAGTCTCATTTCTAGCAATATACACCCTATCAGGTCGACCTCCACACGGATCCTCCTGGAAACCATCGTGGTTAATTTTTGTTTAATTTTTCACGATGGGTCAACTGTCCTGCCATCATCCTCACCAATCGTCAATCACTGGTGCCCTGTCAGTGTATACCGTTAGCGCAGGCGGGGTAACTATTCCATTTTCACCCATAAAAAAATTATATAGCCTGTGATAGTTAATAAATAAAATACTTAAACAAAAAGAAAAAGAAAACATATTACTAAAAGTAATATAAAGTATAAATCACAATTTATGATTTTCAGAAACTTACTAGACTACTTACGAATCAATTTCAGGAAATTTTAAAATTTATATCGCCAATATTTTATAAAACCGGCACTATAATGTTGTAGGCTTCTGTAGTAAAAAGTGACAATTCTTTTTTTTTTTTGTCGTGAAACAAAAAATATGAATTATCGATTTTAGTGTGTAGACATATCTTCTTAAAGCTCTTTGATATTGTACCCGATTAGAAGTCAATTTTGTAATTTATAAAAAAAAATATAGAAAGGCAAGAACAATATAGGTTTTTTTTTTATTTTTACCTGATTATCTACTTTAGTTTTTATCAAAAACCTGGGGTAGGTATACTCAGATTATTTATTGTATGATGCAGACATGAAGGACTGGTAGTATACCCCTTGATTATATCTAATGATAAAATATGAAAAAAATTATATGAAGTATTTTAATAATAGTTGCACAGTGTGTTTTTTTATATCACTGAGGTGGTAAACAATCATACGAACCCACCTGATGATAAGCAATTACCGTAGCTTTTAAACATCTACAATATCAAAAACATTATGCACACGTTGGCGATCCTGGAAATAAAAAAGTTACTTATAGCATCATCAAAATCGGTTACATAAAAGACCTTGCATTTACTTGATAACTAAATTATTCTTAAGAAGACTATCTCTGATATATCAGTTGCTTCACGGGAGGAGTTAATTATATAATCAATCTTGTTTAAACATATTGAAATTAACAGTTTCGCGATTATGAATGTATGATTTAAAAGTTTCAAGCGCAGTGACACGGTTTGCAACGAATATTGTCAAATAATATCTTCATAGTCTCCAAATCGTTAGTTTCAGCCAAAAGTTAATAGCAAGTTAGATGCATAGGATGAAGTAGAAATCATTATTATCTTTTGAATAAGTGTTCCACTTCTATCAGCGAAATTAAACATATTTACCAAAAAACATAGGTAGAAAAACTAAACAATCGAACGCGCTGTGTTACTATGGACACTCAAATGTTTTTTTGCTATTTTGATTCACGAAATTTTGTCTCAATATGTTCTATAGCATGGGTAACATTCTTAGTTTTCATTATATTATCTGTAGTATTGCTAACGACTTCGATTTAACGTATTTAACTGAGCCACTGGTAGTATATTTACCTAAATCTAATGTAGGGACCGATTCTGAGACACCATTTTTCTAAAACTATATTTTAATTTAATATTTTAATTTGATAGTGTCACGAAATTACTGATTTAACCATCATAAACTAAATTTATAATAATTTTGATTTAAATCTATTAGGAATTTAGTTCATTTTGGCCTTTAGAAGGAAGATTTCGCTGTAATATCAAATTGAAACTTTAGAGTTTCGTTTACAGAAATTGCGCCTCAGAATTGACCTCATCTTTTGGTGATTTTGATCATTTAGATCATTATTTAATATCAGCATAACAATTCAATAATTTCCTTTTGTTATGAGCGGGATATTGATTCGCTATTATTAAGAATACGCTAGCTAGGTGATATAACTTTACCATCATTGGTATATTGGTACGACATCATTGTCGTTTTTGTTCGCTATAAAGTCTACGTCCTGGGGATATAAGTGGTGATACCTAGGTAGGTAGCTATTCTTCATTATACGAAGAAGTACTAGGTGTTATCTAATGTTGGCGTAGAAGATTGCGCTCAAACACAAGGCACGATACCTACTCAAGTTTCAAGAGCAATAAATTGAATAATAATAATTACAATTAAATCCATATACGATTATATACGTGCTTATTATAATGGTCATAAATTAGGGGAAATATCTAATTTAATCTTATTGTAATAAAAATTTAAATCATATTAATAGTATTTAAGTAAACATGAAAACATTACGCGCATTTGCGCAGAGAGGCGTTGACGCCAAGTTTCTTCTCAAACCGGTCGTTCAACGAAATTTCAAAAATTCGTTATATTTTTTATGGCTTCTTGGGCGAGGGGCGGATTTGGATAGCGGCGTCCGCTAGGGGTTGCTTGCTAGGTCGCTTCGCGCTTGCGCACGTAGTTCGCGCCACTGCTACGTCGCTTGCAAGCCAGATGTTCTGAAAAGCTTCCTGTCGCCGTTCCATTGCTCCGCATTTTTATCAATAATTTAATATAAAATGTGCACTAGGACTTATAAATTGTTTTCTATAATAGTGAAGTAGTCAGTGATTAGTTGAAAATGTCTAGATTATAGACAGTGAATTATAACTAAAATTTATTGAGCGTCTTGATGTCCACGAGTTCACTCGGGAAGTCAGGACCAACAAAGCGGCGGACATTTTATTTTGAGTACTTGATAATGTAGCGTTTGCGTTGAAAACATTAATGTGGTTTTATGGTTATAAATTCTTATATCGTTCGCTTACACCTTTCGTAAGTATTATGATTTCATATTGGATAATTGGTTTATAATTCTTGTTCAAACTCCATAGTGTATGATGCGGTTATGCCAATGAATTACCGCTAGATTGTCGATATTTTTGGGGAAATGTCGTTGAAAAAAGTGACGTAAGCGAAAGTGGATAAATGCAGGCATCATTAGAGACCTTTTAAATTATATAGAGTTCAATAAATTTGTTATCGACCCGCTTCGGTTTGGAGGCTTCTTACCTGTGATATCCGCGCGCGCGGCGCCCCTAACCTCTTTACTAATTAAATTGTGATGATTACGACTACTAGTTATGGAAATATTAGATGTTAAATGTATTTTTGTGTTATATTCGTGTTGATTAACAGCGATGCCGAGGGGGGTGAAGCGAGGGCCGGCGGAGGGAGAGGCCGAGGTGGTGGTACGAGCTGGGGTGTCTCCATCAAAGACGACGCTATTAGACGATAGCCCGAGTCAGCCCATCAGTTACCACCTGCTAGATCATGGTTATGGCGCTACACCTCAGCACCAGATCATACGGGAGGCGCCCTCGACACCGCCTAAGACATCAGAGGTACGATATTTCACTATATCTTTAGGTGTAACTGAAAAGTATATAGTGTGAGTTGTAGGATTTTAGGTGTTCCACAGTAAGCTATGCAATTATATTATTGATATTTTTAGATCAATATTTTTAATATCATATGTTAAATTTCCTTAAAGGTGAGCTATAAGGGAATTGCCAATAAGAGTTTTAGTGAAATTATTACTTCACATGTGGCTTATGTAAACAGCTTAGGTGTGTACTCTAATGTTGTAATTTAATGTAAGTGTGATAATTTATATTAAACTGGATGTTTTAGTGACAAATTAATGTTAATTTTCTCTTGTAAAATATGGTACAATTTTGGGTGGTAAATTTCTAATTGATTCGCATTGAACTGTTTCAAATTGTATTTACATGTTTAGTCTGCTAATCTGTAGTTTTCTGTCTTAACCAATAGTGAAAATAGGAAATGTTTCATATTAGAATATAATTTGTATAATATCTATCAAGTGTTGCTCACTGGAATGGTATTATTTTATTGCACATTACAGTAATGTGATCACAAAAATCGATCTTATATCGACCTGTGTCTCTATTAGGAAAGGTGGGTTTGTTTTAAGGTAGGGTCTATGAATGACAGTATGTCATCAAGTAAGGTTGGTGATGGCATGCATAATAGTTATATTTGAATATATGCTCCTCAATTTACTATTTTGTTATGTTTATACTGTTGATTCGTAGCACTTGATGAAACTTTAAAAATTTAGTAATAGATATATCTACCACTTTTGTCCTTTTCTAAGACATTACCAGGGTGTTATAACAGTATAATCTGGATGTCTTGTGGGCAGTGGGGCACAATAACACTTGGATTTAATAAAAAAATGCATTATAATTACTGAATATGAATTTGTGAGGCAATGTTTAGATTTTACTATTTCTAATTTAATATTAACATGAGATAATATAATGCAACACATTTTTAATTATTTAGATAAAGCTTAGTAAAGTACTCTCAGTCAACCTAAGGGAAATATAAACACAGAAATTTGGTATGCTATATTTTGTATTGTTTTTTTTTTTGGTCTGATTTCATTCAAAATATTATTAAAGTATAATGATGTATTACCCATTTAATTTAATTTTTGACTAGTTTTTACTCACATGTTTGTCTGCATGACAGGGTTATATTTTGATTGTTTAAGTAGTCTGTGTTAATCTCAATCCCAAAACGATGTGTATGCTGATTGCTAAATTTCATTAATATTGGTTGAACAGTAGAGGCAGTAAGAGGTAAGGATTTTGTATGCAAACTGTGTGGAGGTTATGTAATTTTTTTGTTTATTTTTTTTATATATTATATATAGTATGGCAATCCTAATACGTAAACTTGAGTTTTATTTTCAACTAAGATAATATCATTTTTCAGAGGATAAGGATAAAGTGCCTAGTGCTAATATTTTTTGTCAATATTTACTATGTTTTTATTATAATGATATTATTTCTAATTTTATTCTAAATTTATATTTTAATTTCAATTGAATTTTTATATACATATAGTATGTATATGAGTGATGTGTTTCTGCACTGTATACTAAAGTTTAACAAACATATGGAAAAAATATTGGGTCATATATGGGAAAGCCCAAAACCGATTTGTTTTTTTAATTTACTTATTTATATTCTTTTAATTATATTTATTGTTAGTTTAATTTAGCCGGTTTTCTTTTCGTTGAGGTTAAAAATGTGTGAGTAGTGTTTAAGCAATTAACTACAGACTTGATTGAAGTTTAGGGTTTATAAATTTGTTCTTGTGCTAAAAAGAACAAATGTTTTTACTTTTTAATTCTTGTAAATATGAATTGTAAATCATACAAATATGTAGATTAAACATTTAGTCATTTATTACACAATCATTCATAACTAACTAAATTGATTTAGATGGATTTTGTGATTTATTAATTTCATTTTGTGAGTACATAAATAAATTCACAGTACAATTAGCATTGATATCTACACATATGAAAAAATAAAACTCTTCTAAGAAGAATTTGTAAAATAATTATAAAAGTTGATCTAGTGGACTTTGAGAAAATAGCAACTGACAAAATATATGCATGGAGAGATTAGAAAATCCACTTTTTATAAGTAGTTGATAAAAAATGTGTAATATTTGTATATTATGGTACAACTGTTGTGAGCAATTTGCACTTAAGTAATAGAGAATTTTAGTCGGTAGTTTTATGATGTAGCTAGGGATCCGGCCCGGCTTAGCACGAGTAGATAGAATTTTCGAAAATAATGTTGCCTATGTTACTTTTTGTTAATGTAGTTTTCTATAGTTGGGATTTTTTTTTAAATCGATTTAGTAGTTTTGAGTTTATTCATTACAAATAAACAATCTTTTCTCTTTATATTAGTATAGATAACATATCGACACCATTACCCAATTTTATGGCTTTTCTATTTGTTTAGTAGGTATATTCAGCAGTAGGTAGGATAATAATAGCCAAGACAGAACAGTATGATATTATGTGACCATAAATATCATTGGAGTTGAGTTTGTTCACGTACTGGGCTTTTTTATTACATTCTTGTAACTTAATATGGCAGCAGCGAAGATTAGTAGGTTCTTGAGTGGCGTCCTCGTACAGGCAAATTTAGTCTACGGGATGGAAGGATATTTAGTAACATTTTTATAGGGTGATAATGAAATATTAAACCTTCCTGCGCTATTGGGGTACTGGAGGGGCAGCAGTGAATGAATATAGGCGAGGCTGAAGATAGTCCAATTAGCCTATCGTGACAAATTTATTAGAAATTAACCATGATGGTTTCCAGGCGGAACCATGCGGAAGTCTACCTGAGAAGGGTATATAATAATAATAATTAGACCCCAATACTAACAATCCCTTTCCCCCATTAATGAGGATTTGTGGTCCTATTGCTTGCAATTTAAATGTGGTTTCTCCTGAAAAATATAGTAGTTATTTCACTGTGAAGAAATTAACACATATTTCTATAAATTAATAAAAACATGTTGTATTAATTTATAGAAATATGTGTTTCGAGCTTGAAGTGCATGTAAGGCCGCCGTCTGATAAACTTGTAACAGTGACATTCATATACAACGAAAGGTGAATTAGAAACTGTTGACTTAGAGGGCGCCACATACAAAGCGATTTAGCGATGCCTGCGTTATGATAATACACCGCCGGGGTACCCGTGAGGGATGATAGGCGAGGATGAAGCAAGTCCTAATTCAACAATTATTAATCACAATATTTGCCAGAAGGAACCGCGTGAAGGTTGACCTAATAGTGTATATTGCTAGTAATGGGGCAGTTTACCCCATTACTAACAATCCTTTTCCCCCTATACGGCTTAACAATTATACTAGAGACCGCCCGCTTGTAATAATTTGAAGTATTAAGTTTGGGGCAAAATTTCGCCAATATTTATGCTGTCTTCCTGGTATGGTAGGTGGGTGTAGGAAATAATAAACAATAATATGTCACAATGCGACTTACACGACCACCCGCCCAAATGTCACCCAGAGGAATGGCCTGGAGCGGGAGGCTTGTAGTCTACATCACATCTCTTCCTTTCTTACGACTTGTCTGTCCTACGAATGTCATCATCACATGCTTGCTCTAATATTTATATTAATCTGTATTTTTCTCTATTATAATACCTGATGATTATCTCTGTGACATAGTTTTAGACATGTTGCATTGCCTGAGGTTGCGTATTTGATTTCCGATTAATTCGGGTTTGGATGTTCTGGTTTGTGTCCACAAATGTTCATTTTCTGGTTTATTTTAGCACGGGTTATCCTATCTTGAGCCACGCCCCAGACACAAAATACAGAAACATCGTGATCCATGGTTGTTTGTCACTGTTACATAAACAGATGACGTGTATACATTCAAATGTGTGTTTGTAGCGAACGCAGTGCAATTTTCGAACGGTTGGTCACATTTCTGTCATATTTGCGGAAAGCATCATAAGAGAATCGTGGTGTTTGTGATGGAAGTTTGAGAGAAAGTCAAGAAGTGATCATACAGTAATCTACTTGCAACCTGCGGTTATTCTTGAGTAAATGAGGATATACGTACCTTGTTTAATTTAGGATTGAGTGGGTGCATTTATATACCAGATTTCATTAAAATGCAATCAGTAATTAGGTTATAATTGGGGAATAGATATCCAAACATTTATAAACTTTCACATTGGAAATTAATAAGTAGAGGAATAAATACAAAACATTGATGATTATCTAACCAAGTAGTGCACCCACCGTGTCGGGTTCTGGGTTTCATCTTTCGGTAAACATGTTAATTAAATTTATATGATATTAATTACAATACTTGTATTTATTTACATTGTTATTATAAAATGCTTTTATTTATTTATACACGCGACTGGAATAGATGTATCATACTCACATATTTATAAAATTTGCAAGTGACTACAAAATCATAATATAGATTAAAATGCTAAACACCTCCGTCGTGTTTACTAAATTTCATGACGATCGGATGAGTTGCCAAGAGGTATCTAAGTCTCTTTTTTATTTATAACAGAACATTAAAATTAATATTAGAAAAAAAAATATATATATACATACATACAACACACACACACACACATATATATATATATATATATATATATATATATATATATATATATATATATATATATATATATATATATATATATATATATATATATATATATATATATATATATAAAAAAAACTATTTTTCTTACGTAAGTTCAATGGCAAACAAGCTAACGAAACACACCTGATGGAAAGGGGTAACCTGATACAAATCTCACTTATTGTCCCCATCTCAATATTTGAGACTATCCTAAGCCAAGCTGCTTAGGCATTTTGGTAACTTTTTTTTTATTGAATGAAAATGGTATGGTACCGCTTGCGCTAACGGGATACGCTGGCGGGGCACCAGTGAAGGGTGATCGATGAGGATGAAAATAGGCCAGTTAGCCCATCATGATGA